AAACAACCTCTGGGCTGATCTAAGTCAGGGCACGGCTAACTCACAGATAGAACCCTGAAACAACCTCTGGGCTGATCTAAGTCAGGGCACGGCTAATTCAAAGATCGAACACTGAAACAACCACTGGGCTGATCTAAGTCAAGGCGTGGCTGACTCACAGATCCAAATGAAAGTTAGCTTGTTAGATTTTTTGCGGGATACCAGAGTACCTGGAGAAAAATCCTTGAATCAAGGGAGAGGAGACTTACTCTACTCTAATGACATGCCAAGTCGAACCCGAGATGACCCCAGAGAATGCCATACTGATTTGTAATGTACTAATACCTCGTGAATATTGTATATATATCTTGATAGATGCGAGCCATTCTCCTTCTGAACATACGAGTACGAATATGGGAGTTCTACTAGCAGCTATTTTGGGTACTATTGTGGTCAGCCTCATCCTCTTCTTATCACTTGTTTATGCTCTACGTCACGCAGTCATCCATCAACAACAGAATGTTTTGCTACAAGTACCTACCGAGTCTGACAATCTCTAGAAATGCAACGCTACTCTTCATAACCTAATGATTATTGGATGTCAGTCCTGCCTGGGTCGTCAAGCCTGGTTTACTAGCAGACGCAACTCCATTTACTCACAATGAAGAGAAGCGACGCAAGCGCAAGAGGACGGAAGATTTTTTCTCGCATTGTCTAGCACTCTTGCTAATGGTTTCGTCGACTTGCGTCACTAGTTAGAACCAGGCTTAACTAGCCAATGAATAGGTCAATAAAATGTTGGCGTCAAATCGTAGGTTTATCAATAGAACTTTCCGAAGTAATACAAACTAAAAGTGCATGTCGTCTGACTTTAATGTACAAACATATGAGATTTGTTTAGTTTGTACGAATACCTTACCCAACGTTGCTCATGTTTAGTACAGAAATATTTTTAATGGTATATTAACAATTAAGGATGCTGATTTTTCTAATTTTRAATGCTAAGCAATTGTTAGGTCATTTTCTAGAGTTCTGTGAGAAAAGGAGAATTCATTTTTCAGTAAAACTAATCAAGGAAGAGTGAGCCGTTTTTGACGACTAATTCGAAATGATGATCTATTCGTACTTTCGCTGCAAGAAATCAGTGCTATGTGAAACATCCATCAAGATTCTTAAGTTGATATTAGCAGCGTTTTGCGCGCTAGCCTTGCAACAGCTGTCATTAGCGAATAACGCATCACTCCTAGTATTCTTCGTTTGCACGTTACGTCATCGCGGCCATGTTGGTGCCATTTAACAAAAGATTTCTCATTAGCATCCATTGTTGACGGTACCACAATGGCCGCCATGTTTTTGTCTTTTAACTCTTGGGAATGCTTGCAACCCATCAATAACTGCCGTCACCTAACATATTATATATGATACTGTATTTTATTATAAATACTTCCAATTCGAGCTCGCCTTTGCTTAGTCTTAGCCTCGATTGTGTACACGTACTACGGAACAATACGAGGTAATTAGAATTCCACGGGTTTTGGTCGAATAGCTGAATATCATAACGCATAATAGCAAAGATAACTCGAAACTAGAGTATTAAAGGTTATATTTGTTATTCGATGATAATAAAATAATTCTAACAACACTGAGTGGATAGTCATTTATAAGAAACAAACTGGGTTTATTACAAACAGCTGATGTTAAAGAGTATAGATCAATACATTTTGCGAACTTTAGATATCACTGAATTATAAAACGGTTATTTATATATAAAACAATTGACTTACAAATCTCGCGCGTATTAAGCTAGTCCTGTTAGGTCGTGTTTTCACTGATACTTCGTATTAACTGGTAAGCTTTACTTTACATGACTGACATTCATGTCCTATTGGTGCATGACAGTCTTGTGCAGTCTAGTAGCTTATTCCTGGATCAGTGATGTTCCAAAATGAACCAAGCAATATGACTTTACCAAGGAAACGGTATGTTTGACTGAGTGTTTCAGCTAAATTACATTTTGCTTTATCTTGTAGTTATAGGCTTACGATGTGGGACCCAAAATTTAGTATTTGAAATAAGTGATGGCCAGTCCCAGTACAACACACCAAAAACTAGCAGAGAGGGCATGAGCCGAGTCGTACGCTGCAATACAATTAAGATAAAACATATATAAACAAATAAAATCAGTCAACGATCGCAGCTTAGCACTAATAAACTTGTGTATGAGAGCAATAGTCCCCTTCACGATTCCCTACGCCATCTTGAAAGGTAGCCGGGCCTTTGTATCGAAGCGAGACGAAGGTGAGCTTGCAATGATCGAGACATGTGAATAATTGTCCAAGGTGTTAAAAAAAAGGTTTCTATTATTGCAAGCTCACCGTCTGTCTCGCTTTGATGCAAAGGCACGGCTACCTTTCAAGATGGCGCAGGGAATCGTGAAGGCGATAATTTTAGGTCATTCGAGCCACGCGAACGTCTAACTATTCGGAGATTTTTTACATCGAAGTGAGCACTTTCTACTCAGATATCAATCTTATACTCAGAGTCCTCCAGCGCCTTCCTGCCCAGTTGTCGTCAGCGCCTGGTAAGACTCTAACCGCTACCAGCCCGCTGACCAAAAAGCCGGAAGATTCTGGGCTCGAGATTGCCTAGATATTTATCGATCCTGATTGTTGGTCCGACCGAGGCTTGAACCAGGACCTCTGTCATAATTCGGAATAACTTACCATTTGGTGCAACGTAGTAAATGACATAGGTCGGCTCGCTTCGTTGGTCTTGCATCGTCATGGCGTACAGTTCAAATCGATAAGTGACATTCTTTCTCAGACCCCCAATCCGCTGTACGCGGTCAGTGCTCGAGTAAACCTTGATGTGGCCTGGGAATAGACATAACCAATAACAGTAAGTAATCACAAACAAAGGAAGCCCAAAAATAACAAGTATGGGGAAATGCTATCGGCCAATTTAATAATTGTCATAACCCTTTTTTAAAATCTGGATCATAAAATAACTATTTAAAATCTCGCATTCTGATTGGTTGGGAGCGCGGTCATAATGAGAGCACACAGCACGCGTGCGCACTTTCTGTTTTGTCATTCGTTTTCAAAACAAAGGCTATCATAATTTTTATTTCATGAAAGAAATTAAAGAGTTGGTTGCTAAGCAATGCGCAGTTATAAAGCCACTTGGGGGTTAACACTAGCGTCGTGCTTCTCCTAACACTTCCCTCGTAATATACCTATGCGGGGTATTTTTCCATATACGCGAGCGCTGACAAAAGTATCGCGTGCTCCAATTTGAAAACGAGGTATTTTCTAGCAAGACTATTACGCGCGCTATTCAAAACACATGCAAAACTTTGAAAATTATGTTAACGAAGGAATACTTTTAAGTTTCTTTTAGTTGGGGAGCAGGATAACAGACAAAATCTTTTCTTCAAGGGCTTTAGGAATCATCTTTAACTCTATGGTTTCTAATAGATTCTTACCACATTGCCCAAAACTGCCTCGTTTTCATGCCTGCGCCTGCGATATTCATGAAAGCGCTCGCGCATCTCGAAAATGATCTATTCCTGCGTGCTTTATAACTGCACAAAGCATACGCACGAACGCTGTCTATTTCTTCATTGAATCTAATGTTCATTATTTACCTATCCCTTCATAGTCATCTTTCTCTTTCACTATCGTCAAATACCAATAAATACCCTCCTGACCACCCGCGTTTTCTGGAAGTTTCCATCTCAAGTCAAGAAACGTTCGATCGAGGGTTTGTTCCACAGGTGAGAAAACAATCGGTCGTTTGGGAATACCTAAAATTAATAACCACAGTTTGTTAAGGTTGTTTTTCGCACAATCATCCCTTCATCATCATAATAACCCATGATTGGTTATTCTCGCATGAACATCCCTTCATCATCATCATAACCCATGATTGGTTATTCTCGCATGATCATCCCTTCGTCATCATAATAACCCATGATTGGTTACTCTCGTATGATCATCCCTTCCTCATCATCATAACCCATGATTGGTTATTCTCGCATGATCATCCCTTCATCATCATNATGATCATCCCTTCCTCATCATCATAACCCATGATTGGTTATTCTCGCATGATCATCCCTTCATCATCATCATAACCCATGATTGGTTATTCTCGTATGATCATCCCTTCATCATCATCATAACCCATGATTGGTTATTCTCGCATGATCATCCCTTCATCATCATCATAACCCATGATTGGTTATTCTCGNATCATAACCCATGATTGGTTATTCTCGCATGATCATCCCTTCATCATCATCATAACCCATGATTGGTTATTCTCGCATGATCATCCCTTCATCATACTTACAGCTGCTGTTTGTCCTGAACACAACAATGGCTTCCTGTCCAGCACCCTGTCTGTTCATGGCACGTATGAATACACTATACTCCGTATTTGCTGTAAGATTAGAAATCTTCCATTCGGGATACGAGTCATTGGTGTTGTACTTCACAAGTGGCTGATTACTGAATCCAAGGACGTAGCGTTCAATCTTGGTAATGTAGATAAAACTAACATCAGAATACCGTATGACAAACGACACTATTTCTATCAAGAGTGGTGTACTCTGTTACCTCTGGGTCATGTGAGTAGGGTTTCTGGGGTTTCTTTCTTAAGATTCGAGGGTTTTTCTCCGGATTCTGGTTCGATCTGTGAGTTAGCCGTGCCCTGACTTAGATCAGCCCAGAGGTTGTTTCAGGGTTCGATCTGTGAGTTAGCCGTGCCCTGACTTAGATCAGCACAGAGTTTGTTTCAGGGTTCTATCTGTGAGTTAGCCGTGCCCTGACTTACAACAGCCCAAAGGTTGCTTCAGGATTCGATCCGTGAGTAATCGAGTTCAGAATTTCTTTCAGGGTCAGGTATCAACGAACGAGTTGAAAATTACGTACGTTCTAAACTAATTACTAAAATTCAACAATATTCGCCGGTCGCTCGACCATTCGCATCGCGCTAACCTCTATGTTCAAGTGTAAGATCAGTGTACTAAAAATTGCATGTTGATTACCTCCATCCCACCGGTGTTGTCTGGCGGATTCCACGTAATACTGGCTCGGTCACAAGTCGAATCTATCTGGATATTAGTTGGCTTTTCCGGGGGCGCTGAAAATAATAAGTTTTTACTTACATTATTTTCTTTCTTTTACATACCATCACCATTTCCGTATGCGTAGGCAAAGACATGGCGGCCATGTTTGTCATATTAACAAAGGAAGATAGTGTTGCATATTTGTAATACGACTTGCAACCAAAAAGCGCGTGTATAATAACTCTTTATATTAAAAAACAGCTATAAATTTCGCATTCTGAATGGTTGGGAGCGCGTGCTTTATGAGAGCACACAGCACTCGCCCGCACATTCAATTGCGCCATTCCTACCTAACATAACGGTTATTGTAATTTGTATTTTATAGAAGAAATAAAAAACTTGCTTGCTGTGCTGTGTGCAGTTATAAAGCACTTGGAGATTGACAGAACACTCGAGAAGTGTCGAGAAGCACACTTCTCTAGTGTTCTGCCAACCCCCGCGTGCTTTATAACTGCACACAGCAATTCATATTATTTTATATCTTCAATATATGCGTGTTTATTGACAATTGATTGTTTGCAATCACTTTCACGAGATTTAAAAGACAAATAAACGACGGCCATGTTGGATGATTTAACAAATAATGTTATAATTAAATATATTGATTAAACATGATTTTTCCATTTCATTTCAGTATCCTTAATCCTATTATAGACCTCTTTAGCTTGCTTGTAGCATATTCTTACTTCATACACGTATCATTCTGCTGCGTATCTTTTCTTTGTCTTTGTTTGTTTTTTGTTTGTTTGTTTTTTTGTTGTTTTTGTTTTTTGTTGTTTTTGTTTTTTGTTGTTTTTGTTTTTTGTTTTTGTTTGTTTGTTTTGTTTTGTTTTTGTTTTGTTTTTTGGCTTTCTTCGCATGAGAAGACACATGAATATGGATACAATTCAAACGAAGAATCATATTCTCAAGAGATTGACACGTGGTGTGTATAATAAGGGACGAATGTGTTACTTACTTGCATGCTTTATAAAAACAGTGTAGTTGACCTCACCATAGATATTACTGCCGATACAACTATAAGGCCCAAAATCTTCCCAACTGTACGTCCACACGTATAATGTTGCCTGATCTGTGCCGTTAGTCAGTTCGTAAAACCCACGCCAGATTGTCACGTTGGCCTGTGGCCAACTGACAAAGTCACAGTTAATCTTAAGTGGTTTTGGATTGCCCACATATGAGTAGATCACCTTAGGACTTCCTTGATCGTTGACATATGGCTTGTCTGTAAGTACAATCAGATTTATTCGTACGAAGCAACTAAATTATGGTGTTGGTTTGCCATGTCATAAATTTACCTTTAGTGAACACTGCGAAGGTTTGATTAACAACAATGACATCGCCATTAGAGTCCCTTGCACTGCTCCAAGCTTCACAAGAATAGTTGCCCAAGTCATGTACCCGGATTAAAAAGGACCTAATGAAAGCCTCTCCTGGTTTCGCCTAAGGAACAAAGTAATGTTGGTCATTCGACAGTGCTTCCCGTTAGCGGGTCTGGGATCGTGCAAATTTCCATCACGACAAAATAGGTTCATTGTGGACGTCAATCAAAGTACTTCCATGACATTGTCCAAAACAACTTTTTCATGCATGGGTACGTGCCTATGAATGTCATGGAAACGCTTTGATTGGTGTCCACCAAAACCTACTTAATCTAGGCGACGATTATCAGAACAAGTCAGAGCTGACTTACGTCTAGTCTGGGATGAATCCTGCCATCTTTTCTGATGACGACGGTTGGCTTTGGATAACCACTTGCTTTACATGCAATGGTGTATGCCTTAAACAGCTCAGGATAATACACCCAAGGAAACTGTGGATCGGTAATTTTTGGTGCTTCTGATGTACACAAAAGAAGTATCGTATGAGTTCATCAATCATTCCAAATAACAAGACACAGTGGCCATGTTGGTTGATTTAACAAAAGAATTCATTCACAGCTCTTTTGTTAAATTCAAGATGGCAGCTATTCGTCATATGCAAACAAATAATAGTGCAGGTCAAATTGTACAAAAAATTTTATCGATACCTGTGGGGTGATCTAAGTCAGAACACAGTTTACTCACAGCAGAATAGTTCAAATAGAGGTTTGGCACCATCAAGTGCCGGCAGAACAATAAAATCCTTTATTTTCTGGGGGATTAAATACTCTTTTCATGTTAAACGATTGTACGTATAGTTTCTGCCATCCAACATGGCTGCCGTCACTTGATGGTGCAAAACCCGTCTGTTTTTTCTTTTCTTGCGGAGGGAGAAAAAAAAGGAAGAACCGGGAGAATAAACTATTGTCTCAAGCAGGAGACTTAACAAATTCTAATCACATGGTAAATACATGTCCAGGAATCACATCCAAGACCTCAGAGGTGACTTGACTTGACTTGCACAGTGCGTAACGAGATTAGAGAGCGTGCAGTACAACACTTTCCAAATCCCTGATCATTATACTACATCCTAGAACCGCAAAAATCAACTCCTAAATTCCAATTCGATCATGGAATGAGGGCCACAGGTTTGCAAGCCACTGGCTATTATTTGTGCTACCCTCGTGAAAAAAAAAAAAACGTTAATAGTCACGTGATATGTTACTATCAACTCAACTTACCATAAACGTCTAAAATTTCAGCAGAGGCAGACACATGAGTTTCTCCTTGAGTGACGTTACACGTCCACACCCCTTTGTCAGATCGTTGAACATTATATATGTAAAGTACATCGTCCTCTATATGATAACGTGGATCGAAGGTGGATACTGCTTGGTTCGCGGGATTCAACCAATTAATTTTGGGTTTGGGTGAGCCGTCCACTACACATTTGAAAGACGTATTATAACCAACGGTCACGTAGCGCTTCTCTGGATGTGGCGGGACCAGAATCACAGGCGGCACTAATAAGCAAACAAACATTATCAACTAGGCGACCTTCAAAGCGACCACCATCATATTGGTGATCAAACATAGCATGCTGTGGCTGACTAGGGGGGGGGGGGGGGGGGGGGGG